GAGGTCACTGCATCCTCTGTGTTCTCATAGCATACGAACGCATTTTACAGTGTGTATCAGTGTTCCCAATTATTGTCTCCCCCAACAGATGTTGAGCAGCTGGAGGTCAGAAACTTGTCTTATCCAGCTCCATGTCCCAGCCTCTTAGCTCAGCAAGGACAGCACGCTCACTGCAGTGTCTGCAGAACGGATTGATGTAGAGCTTGGGAGAGCCAGGAGGTTCCATGTTGTGTCACATAGAAGAGCGCTCCCCGGGGATCTTCAGCAACTTGGATTCCGGGGTCCCCTTCCCACCCCAATCCACAACCTGGGCTTCATGGACCCAGGAATGCTGGCCCCTCAGACCCTCGTCATGAGGCTGAGCTTGGCACTGGCCACATGGGGGCTAGAGGAGGGGCAGAGACACCCTGTCTGGACAAAAGGAAGTCCCATGGTCTAGACTCCGGCCACGGATGTGCACCCGTCCAGACTCACCATTCCGCCAAGTTCCTGGCATAATGTGTTGGCCTGTAAAACCACCACTTGCGGTTGAATGTGAGGCTGGAAGGGTCATTTTCAGATGGGGACCCCTGGGCAAGGCTGGAAAGGAGGTCAGCCAAAGGGCTTCAAACAAAGACTTGTTCTCTTGCTTCCTGGTGCTCTGGTCTCCCTGGCATGGGGTTTTCCTCGGTGGTGGCCGTCACTTCAAGGCCACCCCTGGGAACAGAGGCCAGAAAGTTTTCCCCCCACTGCAGGGGATGCCAGAAACAGGCTGGCTTTCCCTAGATAAAATAAGCTCTTTACCTGAACCTTAGTGATATCAACCACCATATTCTCTATAAGGGATACCGAGTCCCTGCAAACCTCTTAGGGCAAGAATGAAGGCACAGAAACCCAGGCCTGTCAGGGCCTCCTGGCACCTCGCATATCTGCATTTCGGTGGCAGTGTCCCCAGCTGTGCTTGGCAGGTCCTGCCTCCCTGCCTTCAGCAGATGCCCCTGCTGTTTAACGCCCCTGGCGCTGTGTAGACTCCGCCCCGGGGAGGAGGGGCCAGTCCCGAGCCCTTCTGACTGACATCTCTTCTCTTGGCCCCAACTGGCCAGGCTCTGCCATGAAACTGGTCTGCTACTTCACCAACTGGTCCCAGTACAGAGCGGAGGCCGCTCGCTTCTTGCCCAGGAATGTGAACCCCCATCTGTGCACCCACCTCGTCTACGCCTTCGCCGGCATGAACAGCCACCAGCTCAGCACCACAGAGTGGAACGACGAGGAGCACTACGAGGAGTTCAACGGCCTGAAGAAGACGTGAGCTGCTGTGGGCGCGGTGGGCCGTGGGGGAG